TGTCCATCAGCCATTCTTCTCTACATTCTTTCCTCCTTCCCAGAAGTTCCTTAGGGTTGGCTGTATATCTCCAGCTCACATCAACAACCTGGAATCAACCATTTCAACAGTATCAAAGCAAATTTTAAAAGAAATGTAACTTAGACTCATAAAACCCTAATGCCCAAATTTTAAATGAACATTCAGTGGGATACTTCTGAAAGCCATTTAAAGCGTTCACGCAGTGCAATATTTTTAAAAAAAGGCAAGTTTAAGACCAGCCAAGCACATATTTATTCTCTTAGCAAATATGTCACACAAAGGAGGTACACTGAGCAACGATCAACTGATCGCAAACATCATATTCAACAAGCAGTCTGTGGTAATAGCAAAACTGACTGTAGTGGTCGCTGAAAAAGTAGACTTCCTCAAAAATGAGAACACCGAAGATGCCAGGTGCTGCACTGCCTTAGAATCAAACAGTGTTGCATTCACTGTTGTTTGATATGCAAGATAAAACTAAATAAGAAGGATGAATCAATTTAAATGTGTCTTTCCTTTCAAAATTTCATAGGTTTGTAAACCAATACAGGCGATTCACAATAGTGCGCCGCCAAGAGTTTGCAACATGTTGGCCAATCATAACGCACAAAATTTGTCGACCCTTTCCAAACGCGCATTGGGTTGACAAATTTCGCGCATTGTGATTGGCCAACGCATTACAAACTCTTGGTGGCGCACTATTGTGAAACGGCTGTATTGTCAAAAAGGCTGTGACAGTGATATTGTTAGGCACATTTGAGCGTAACTGTATGGAATTTGTGCTTCATAGACAAATTCATTACATTGCTGTAATTAGGTTTCCGGCTATCCCCATACAAAAGTCAAGGAGACAACTAGTTCTACCTCTTCATTGGAGAAAGCAATGAGATAGGAAAGCTTCTTGGACCAGCCTCGTTCATACAGCAAGGGTTTATCGCAGACATTCTCACACGGGTCGCAGTGAAGCCAGCGCTGTTGGGAATTAGAGTATACCTCCGTCCATACGTGGTCTAACAGAAAAAAAAATTCTGTAGTAGGCGTGCACAAGTTGGAAAAAATTGGCTGAGATGCAGTCACCACAAAAAGAGCTGAAAGTCGGAATTTTCAAAAATTGAAATATTGGTGTTTTTGAATTAAGCAGAAAGGGAGCTTTCCAACTGTATTTACATGGAACACTTCGGCTTAAAGTATGAGGTGACAACGTGACATTATTCTGGCACTGTTTCACCATTTCTGACCAGGCATGAATAATGCTATCATCAAAATTGCTGAGAAAATGACATTTTTACATGTATGATCCTACGAAATATTTGGAATTACACAGGAGCAGGTTACTCTTTTCAAATATTGAAAAATTGACCTCCACTTCAATATGACCTTAACCCCGCAAAATAGGAAGGAGCAGGATGTGACTTTCCGCTCATTTTGTCGTGACAGGTCACAAATGTCAATTTTCCTGAGACAGGTACTGGCACATGTAAGCCAACAATGTTGATGTATTCGTGCAAATGGGTTGGCGTGCATGAGGCAATAAACTATAAATGAGTGAATAGACAACAAAACCGATGAAGGAGTGAATTCAGACTTCGCTAATGTACTTATAATGAATAATCTTACATACACGTGAAGTTTCTAAAGCCTCAAGACATCAGCTGAGACCTTTAAAGGAACTTCTCAGGAATGATCAACAAAATGGTGAGGAATTACATTCAAACATGAACACTGGAAAAACGATCTCGAGTACAAACAAAGGGCTTTGAAACGAGCACCCACGAATGATGTGACTTCTGAATGTCCCGCACATACCTGTCCAGTCAACCACGTGCCTAGCCTCAAATCCAGCCGCTCGGCAGCACAGAGTGAAGCAGTTGGCCCACTCGCCGCAGCGACCTTTCCTGGTCTCCAACAGCTTACCTGGATGGTTGTACCTTGGAAAGCACCAAATTGAATATGAAATTTACCACTGGTGCCAAACTATTTGTGAAATGTCACGACCTTTAGTCTGATGCCTGGCAAATGAATCCTTTGCCGGTACTTTCATCGGATTGTGAGCTAGGTCTATCCACTTTGCAAGCACTCCAAATGCAACAAATGCCATGCAGGTTTATTTCTCTGGGTTTTCTGGTTTATTTTCCTGCACAAACATCAACACTTTCAATCTCTGACTGAGCTTGGGGGTCAGGCTTGGGTCATTTGGCAGCTGGCTAAGGTACCAATCCATCCTGCATTCAGCTCAACCATGTAGCTGCATTCTTTGTAATTCAGCCACAAGGCTGGTTCATACCTCAGGCGAGTGCGCAAGCGAAGGAAATTTCAGGTAACGCTTTCAGAGAAATTCTAAGGTTGAAATTCTTTTAAAATACTGCAGTCCGACTATTTTGATCCATCATCACAAAATTGTGCTGGAGTTCTCTTTTGCATCAAGCGAGAACCGGCCTTTCCAACCACAAGGATGAATGCTATCCTCAATAAACAAAAAACAGAAATATGCCAACCTGCCATTTTCCCCTGAAACAATTAAGACCACTGTAAGTGAAATTTTGAAAATTTGAGAAATAAAGATGCTGCTAACTGGAAAAAAGAAATACCTTGGGAAACGACCCGGTCTATTGCACCTGGGGCATGTGTACCCCTCAACCCGGCCCGCCCCCCAGCGACGGTCATCTGCGTTCGGCTCCACCAGGCCCACGCTCCTCATCCGCACCTGGCACGTCTCGCAGGACAGGCTGTCCATCCACTTGAAGAAGCTGGTCTTGAACCACTTCAGAAGCTCCAGGAGGAGGTAGTCGCGCTGGTCCAGCGGGCTGGTGAACTCCTCCACTCCTGGAGAATTGTGGACACAGGGACTGTGAACACTGGGACTCAGATGAAGAGAAAGAGTGGTAAGCACCTTGTGGTTGATCCATTCTACTCAGCAGCCAAAAAAGAGAGGCTACGTACAGGCAGAAATGATTCAACAAGCAAATTGTTGTAGCCCCTTCCCTCGGTCTCATTACCGTTTAACCATATACTGATTTTTCCCACAAACAAACTTGTCCCAGGCAGTTTTATTTTTGGTAAAAATACTTGCTTTTAAAGATAAAACCAAAAACCACTGTCCTTTACAAAGATGTACTTTAAAAATCCTGTCCCTTGGTGGTAATTTACTCAAAATTTGTGTGAGATTTGTTTCAGTATTGTCACATACATGTATTTTATAGCTCCAAGACAATGTCATGGAGCAATATTTGGAGGGCTTCACATGTGCCCAACCTCTGGGGACTAGTTCAGGACTGTGTGTGTGTACAAACTCAATGGGAGTCACTCAAGTGTGGGAAGGAACTTATATGACCTTGTGCTGCATGTATAATTATTTTTGACAAATATACAGAAAAAGATGATTGATGACTCCCGATGTCATGTTGCTGGTAGCAACGTTTTGGCTGTTGGTCCTGCTAGCCTTCATCAGGCAACTGAAGTCTGGATGCTGCAGAGTCGGCTATATACCGCTGGACCGCGTCCTCCGCGTGCCCCCGTCGTGTACTGCAGACGTAGTACGGGTGACCTCAGCAGGCGTCGCATGCTCCACTCCATGGGCGTGAAGGGGCGTGTCCTCGTTGTGGCTCCGTTGTGCTCCAGTGCTGCAGTGATTGTGTTGACGGATGGTGGGGAGCCAGAACCCAGGGATGTCGATGCCGCTAGCCCTGTTAATGCTGTGTTGGTTGAGGCGGATGTGGATGGCCTCCTTTACGCGTCTGGTCTGGAGATACCGGATAACCACCTTAACAGCCTCAAGCCCAACATTCGGTTCACCATCGAGAACGAGCAGGACAGAAGCATCGCATTCCTGGACACCATGGTCCACAGGGAACCTGACGGCAGCCTGACAAGCACCGTGTACCGCAAGCCCACTCACGCCGACCAGTATCTGGCTTTTGACTCACACCACCTAGAGTCTGTCAAAAGGGGTGTGGCCAAGTGCCTCCACGACCGCGCCTCACGCCTAGTCACCAGACCACGCTACACAGCCGCCGAGAGACACCGAGTCACCGCAGCCCGCATGGCGAATGGGTACCCAACATCCTTCATCCGGCAGTCATCTAGATCCAAGACCAGCACCGAAGCGGAGCGACTGGAGTACAAGGCCTTCACCGTTCTTCCCTTCATGGACGGTATCTCCAGACGGCTGAAGAGGATCCTGGAGGACCACCTTGAGGAGCCAACTCGTGCGTCCTGAGGATCCTATCCCACCCGGAAGACGCGGAGTAGTAGCCTACAGGATACCATGCGGTGACTGCGACAAGGTGTAGGTCGGCGAGACTGGCAGACCCGTCGGCAAGAGAATCGAGGAGCACCAGGGTGACGTGAGACTCTCCCGTGTAGATTCGTCAGCGGTAGCGGAACACACCAGGGGAGCTGGTCACCACCCTAACTGGGACGGCGTGCAGTGTGTGGACCAGGACCAGCATTGGTACACCAGACGCATCAAGGAGGCCATCCACATCCGCCTCAACACAGCATCAACTGGGACAGCGGCATCGATATCCCCGGGTTCTGGTTCCCCACCATCCATCAACACAATCACCGCAGCACTGGAGCACAATGGAGCCACAACGAGGACACGCCCCTTCACGCCCATGGAGTGGAGCATGCGACGCCTGCTGAGGTCACCCGTACTACGTCTGCAGTACACGACGGGGGCACGCGGAGGACGCGGTCCAGCGGTATATAGCGGACTCTGCAGCATCCAGACTTCAGTTGCCTGATGAAGGCTAGCAGCACCAACAGCCGAAACGCTGCTACCAGCAACATGACATCGGGAGTCATCAATCATCTTTTTCTCTATAACCATCATCTACCGCGGCGATTATGTTTATCTCTTCTATTTTTGACAATTTTATAAGAACAATGAGAGATCATAACTGAAGTCTTTTTCAGACTTAAATAAAAAATCTCTAAAGATATTGAAAATAATGGTTGATCATCTATAAAGATTGAAACATGGTCAATCACAAGGTCTGGCACCTGTACTGTTCTCAGTCTGCTGCTGTAGTTTCTCCCTGGCTTTCAGGATGAGATCGGACAGCACCATGCAGTCCCTTGCCTTCTGCTGCAGAGCAGGATCCTCATAGATGAGGACGTGATCAGCGCTGCTCCGAAGCCGCTGATGGAAGGCCATCTCTGATGCCTGAAAATTTTCAAGATGATTTCATACTTTGGTGAAGGAAGAGCAATTTTGAAAAATAATCTCTAGTGTAATAAGCCTTGAATGAATAATGCCAAGATTAACACAGTAAAATAACCAAAACTGACCAACATTCGGATTCATGTTGTCATTTCTGTTCATCCAACAGTGCATTAAGCACCAAATACATGTATATGACTAGAGCCAATGATTTTTCTCGATCGCGGAAAACAGACGGAATTTGTGGAATCAACACTTTGAAACGGAATTCACTGCTTGAAACGGAATTTGCAAAATTTCCCTCTAAGAATGGCTTAAAAAGTGAAGAAAACTTTCTGCAAAGTACTAAAAAATAAATGCCTACTAAACCCATTTCAAATGCTTGCTGTTAATGAACGAATTACGCTGGAAACATGTTAAATTGCACCACTCCACCACATGATTGGGTCGTCCGCACCACGCCGGTGCCGATACTTGCAAGCGCTATGGCGTGCGTGAACCCCATGCACGCAGCAGCCGGCACAGCGCAGCGGTGCGGTACATTGTGTATACACATATTGGCCGTTCGCAAGCGTACCGTACACATACTAGCAATGAAATCAATGTACAAACAAGTTCTTACTCACACATATGACTATTGCACACGTGGGGGATTTAGTCTGTGAATCCGCATGGACGCCTTGAGACAAGGCTAGTACGGCATGGCAAAACAATGAAACCGCAGCAGCAAAACAGAAGACTAATTACATGTACTTATTTCTTGAATTAAACGAAACCTAGTAACCTTGGTGTACCATGGCTGAATGGGCCCTCGGAAGTGTTCAATAAAGAGTGAAGTTTTGAGTCACAAACGTACATTTTAGGGCTCAGATTTAATGTTAACTTTCTGAAGTTTGTTGCAACCCTTCCAAAGAAAATGGCCGGTCGATGTCCAACATTAACATATTGTGATCAACGACTGTTACATGCAAGACCTACTCTGTGACTTCACTCTACATGTATGTAATCTGATTTCATACACGAGGAGTGGGTCATGAATTGTTCGTTGATTAATCAAAGCAAGTTTTTTGGCAATTGCTCGCTGGTGGGAAATCAAGGGGTGGGCAGTATTTCTTGTCTGGATTTTTTTTTCTAATTTTCACTACAGAAATTATAAAAAAAGTTGGAAACACTGCAGAATATTTCCAAACAATATTGTTGTTTTTTTTTCTTTCTTTCTTTTTTTTTGGGGGGGCAATGTGGTTGGGCAAATGGTTTCCATGCATAGTTTAAACTTGCTCTCCTATTTCATGCTTACGAAGATATGAAACAGAATTTGAATTTCTGAAGCAGAATTCGAGATTTGGAAAAAAGGAAAATACCCATTTTTGAAACGGAAAATCATTCTCTCTATATGACGATTATAAATAGTGATGAAGAAGACATGTACAGTTTCCGTGGTGGGGGAAAAAAGCAGAGAAGTGTCCCAGGAAAAACCCATCAAATCACATAGAGACTGAAAACCCAATCCACATGACAACCACGGTGGGATTCGAACCAGGGTCGAGAGGTGGGACAAAAAAAGAACCCTATACCAACCTGACTCCCCAAGTTCTCCTTTTTTCTGGAGTGACAGATAATTGAACTGACAGAGAATAGTATGCAGAATTGCCAGAATCATAAAAGCTGAAAACCGTCAGGGATTTTTGGCTCCAACTGGCTATCTTCAGTTCCTTCACTGAATCCACTTTTGAGTCCAAAGAGTCATCTAGCTGTTAAATAGCTACACATTTCACTACTGTACATGTACATGTCCAATACAGCACCTTTGTTAGTGTATCGTAACTTGTACAGTATTACTTCATACCTGAATGTTCCACGTTGACAGGCCTGCGATTTGTTGGGCCATGAGTCGCAGGCGCTCCCTGGCTAACCGGCCCTGTATCGTGGTTAGGTCATTCAGGGGAGCGTGCTGGGGAAACACCAGGTGGCCGTCATTCTAAAGCAAGCAAGAGAAGGATAGACATTATAAGTGAACACGACTGGTGAGGCTAACCCCTTGGGTCCTTTTGGCAAGGCTACAGCCTCAGTCCTCCAAACTCCTCCATTATCTTTTGAAGGTTTTCCATGGAAGGGAAAGAATTCCACATACGAACGGACGCAGCTTGACACCCTCTGCACAGGCCCCATGAGACTGGTCTGAAAAGTTCTAAATGTTTAGTATGTGAATACCTCGATTTTTCCTTGCCAAAATTGACTTTTTAGGATGTTACTGCTTTTGGGTGGCTGGCAGGTCACTGCAGCGTTGAAATATTTGTGGCGTCTATATATGGAATTCGTTCCCTTGGATGGGTCACCACTGCCTCAATCCATCAAATCCTCCAGGAAATTCCTGTTACTAGGTTGATACAGCGCAACCAAAAAATTTGTTCCACATTCTTTGCACTTCAATGATGCATGTTTCTTCTCAAAATACAATAAACTTAAACACCACCTCCCAAAATACAGATAATTTTTATCCTCCTAATTTATTGTCCCAATATACAGTTGTGCATTACTTTACAATAAATTTATTTTCTTTGACCCACAAAGGAGGAAGGCTGTAGATTTCCTTCACAATAAATAATTACATAACTGCCATTTTTCCCAATATACAGTCATGCATTACTTTACAATAAATTTATTTTCTTTGGTCCACAAAGGAAAAAGGCTGTAGATTTCCTTCACAATAAATAATTACATAACTACCATCTTCCTAGTCTATGGGTCTGGTTTTCACCTCTTCAAATCCCATAAGGAACAGACACTCCACGGCACCAGACACTGGAAGGACACGCTTCTCAAAGATCTTGTTTCCAAGCCGGATGGAGCGGTACTTCTCAACATTTGGATTCCTGTTTCAAATAATTAAAAAACTGTCCTAAAATAAGGAGCATTAAAATGAGGCAAATATGCTGGACCATGAGCATAAAACTGCATGGCTTTCAAGACTATGCAACATTATGGCATGTACTGGGCCAGGGTTTGAACACACTTGAACAAATCTAAAAAAAAATCCCACATTTTATTTTAAGAAGTTGGATAGCGACAAGGTAACCAGCAGTGCTATTGAGGCCCTAAGCAAGATCACCGAAGGTATCGACATCATGGAAAAATGGCAAAAACTTATAAAATTAACTGATACGGTAGCTCTGACGGCGGTTGGACCACTGTCGATGAATATCAACGGAATTATCTCGCCGATGATTCCAACGACGAGAAACGTATTAAGAGAGCGGAAACAAGAGCACAGAGAAAAATGCGACAAGGCGCGGAAGGCACAGGGGTCAAGACATTTTTCCCCCGTTACTTCTCTGGTGGGGCCATCTACAATGAAGTTGAACAAGACAAACACAGCAGCTGACTGGCCTCAAGGACTGGGCTACATCAGCCAAAACCAGGCGCTTGTTTTGCTTGTGGAAATTTGAGTCGTTGGAGAGCAGAGTGCAGCAAAATGATGACAGAAGTAATGGGAGGTCGTAAGATAAGCAAAGTACCGATAAAATGTAAAAAAGGAAATTGAAGGGTGCAGAGACAAATTGTAATCACCAGTAGGGTGTTTAAAAGCCAGGCTAGACGAATGGAAAAGCACAAATGTGTGTAGCAGTGTTCTTATTATTTGGCAGGAGGGATACAAATTCCTGCTATTTACCTTGCCCAAAAAAGTGGACATAAAAAACAATAGGTCTGCCATAAACCATGTAAACAATCCAGGTTTTGTGGTTTCTGACATGGGAAAGTTGCTTACTAAAAGTTGTATTTTTGAAGTTGCCGAAAAAACGTATGTTGTCAATCCATTAACTGTGGCTGGAAACAAGGAAAAACCCTGATTGGTTTTGGATCGCCGTCATGTCAACGGTTGTCATGTCAATCCACATTTGTACAAAGAAAAGTTCAAATATGAGGGCAGTTAGGTTGTGAGAGATGTTTTTCAAAGAAGAGATAATGCAGTAACATTCAATCTAATATAAACCCACATACCACCACATTGAACAACAGAAGAACGCCAACAGTTTCTGGGTTTTGCGTGGGGAAAAGGTATCATGAGGAGATGCACATACATACAAGGTCCTCCCATTCGGTATTTCCACAGCTGGTTAGGTTTTTTAATGAGGGCGGTAGTGACGCATTGGAGGAGTACAGGGTACAAGGTAATAATGTTCCAAGATGACAGAATGGCCGGAAGTGCCAGGCTGGATCTAGCTAAAGAGCATAGCCAGTTAATAAAAAGCACCTTACAAAAGCTGGGTTTCATGATAGCCAAAGAGAAGTGTGTTTGGAAGCCGAAACAGAAAATCAACTGGCTTGGGTTGGAATGGCATTTCAAGAAGGGTCTCATGCATATAGCAGAAAGGAGAGTACGCAATCTCCTGAGTTCAATTGATCAGATTTGTGATACACAAATCCCGTCGCTTGCCTTGGTACCAGTTAGGTACTGTACCTTGCCAGAGTCGTAGGTCAGATTGTATCCATGCACACGGTGCTTGGGTCGCTGGTTCAGCTCAAAACACAGGCAGCATTCAAATGCATAAACAGCAGAATTTCTTGGAATTCTCAGGTTCTCAATTCTCAAGCCAGCTAAATTAGAGTCGTTATTTTGGAGAGATACATGTAATGTACCAGTACAGCAGTTAAATGAGCTTGAGATATCTAAACAGGTTGAAGTTCATTTGGAAATGTACACGGACTCGTCCAGGTTGGGGTACGGGGTTATGTACTGGATCATGATGGGCTGGAAGTGATAGGCGCTTGGTCAGAAAGTAAAATGTGCAAAAGCTCTACTTGGAGAGAGCTTGAAGCCATCTGAAGAATGGCAACAGATATGAAGGACTGCCTGGAAGGGCACAGAGTGCATCTGTATACAGACAACCGGAGTGTACATGTAGTGAAAATCATAAAAATAAATAATAATAATAATTACCAAAAATGAGTCACTTGGGAGACATTCCCATAGGAACGTGCACAAAATTTTTCAAACTTTACCGTCCCATAATTCAATATCCCCTAATCCGATCTTAACCAAACTTTGCATGTTTTCCTTTCAGACCCTAATCTATCATCTCTCAAAATGACGCCGGTAAAATTTTTCCTCCTTTTGGTAGTTGGAGAATTAGGGAGACATTGAAATGTCTCCCTAATGACCGATGTCTCCCTATTAAATGTTGAAAAATTTACCACAAAATGTCTCCCAAGTGACCTATTTGGAAATATAATTGACAGTTATAAAGTGCCCAATCCATCAAGCTGCTCCCAGGTGCTGTACATCAAAATATAAATAAATAGATAAAACCTACATGTACCATAATTAATATCAATACTAAGAAACTAGAAGTGCTTGTTTAAAAAGATGCGTCTTCAGCACGGTCTTAAAACTCTCCACATTCCTAGAATCTCTAAGATGAACTTCAAGCTGGTTCCAGAGATGGGGACCAGCCACAGAAAACATCCTCTCGCCAGTAGAAGACAAGGCTTGGAAGAGTAAGCCTAGACGAGTAAACAGGTAGTAATAACCCAGAAATGCATCAGAAGGCATCACAGGTTAGGGGGATATGTTCTAAAGCTGAGGCAAAGATAGATCCTGTTTGGAGACCAAGAAGAGAGAATAAATGAGCCGACAAGCTGAGTCAGTTGGTGGATAGTGACGATTGGCAGATCGATCAAGAGACTTTTGCCAGGTTGGACAGACAGTGGGGCCCCTATTCCTGCTATAGATTTGCATGTGGGTACAACGCCAAGTGTAAAAAAATCAACTCCAGCAGATGGTGCCCAGGTACTCCTAGTACAGATGCTTTCAGTCAGAAATGGACCACAGACACAAACTGGTGGGTACCGGTGGGTATCTCTGGCAAGTCTGGATATATTTTCATGTTTGTTGCATGCAAAAGACATTCAATTGATTTGCATCTTTTTAGTACTAGATATACAACAAGCAGAGCATCAAGCCCTAGAGGAGACACTAGTCACGTCCATGAAGTTGCTTGGACTGGTGGATACTACTGTATGTCAGGTCAACTAGCAGCATTGGGAAGCGAAGCTACTTCAGTCAAGTATTTAAGGTCATTCAAGAAATGGCAGAAATTCATCGAGACAGAAGGTGGCAATGCAATTCCAGCACAACCCATACATGAAGAGTTATAGATTTCAAGCTTAATTCAAAAAGGAGTTTCTACTAGCGTTAGTGAAACTGCCTTTTACGCTATTACATGGGCGCACAATGTAAGGGGCGTAAGTGACCCGACAGTTAAGCTGTTCGTACAGAATTTACTAGAGATGTCTAACAGAGCCTGTTCAAAACCAATAAGAAAAAAAGAGAAATGGTTACAGCGGAACACATAGTAACACCGTCTGATAAATATGAAGGATCAGACGATTTACTTGAGTTAAGAGATCTTGCTATCATTGTTCTGGGATTTGCGGGTTTTCTTCGGTTCAAGGAAATCCGTTGCTTGCAGGCAAAGACGTTTAATTTTTTAATTTCATGAAAAATTGTTGACTCTGTTCTTTTAAAGTAAAAGTAAGAATGATCAGTACAGAAAGGGGAAAACAGTCATGACTGCCAAAGGGATAACACCGTATGTCTGATGAAAATTGCCAATAACTATTTGTCTAGGGCATGTGCACCATTACGCTCGGGACAATACATTTTCCATCCAGCAAAGGCAAGAATCTAATCAAGAGGACCAAGAAGTATAATTATACGAGACCCAGAGAAACAGTTTTGAACCGATTGAGGGAGGTTTGCAGTCATGTGAATATTGGGTTACACTCCTTGAGGGCAGGTGGTGCCACAGCAGCCACAAGGGCCTCAGTAAATGAACAGCTGTGGAAGCGGCATAGAAGGTGGCGTAGTGACATAGCCAAAGACTGATATGTGGACGATAGTCTAGAGCACAGGCTCTCTGTAACGCAAGCACTGACACTGTAGAATAATCACTAACCATGGTGGTCCAGTATAGTAGTTTCTATTGGAGATAATAGTTCCTTTGAAGGAGTACCGATAGCAGTTTTTATAACAGGCACAAATCGCAGACAGCGGGCACACATTATGCACACTACACAAGTCATGTATTCATGTTTTAATGATATGAGTATGCATCATAGAATTCAGCTTTTCTCCCTGTCTCAAGACTTGACATAGATCTGCCAATCATTTTAAAACTCTGTAATTTTTTTGGAAAATGTTTGTTGAACAGGGTACAGTTAACCGTTACAGGAGGCTCGCTTTCCAGACAACCTAACTTGGAATAAAAATATAACGGTCAATCACTGCTGGGTTTTACAGAAATTGAGATTAGCTTTTCAAATATTCAATATACTGTTGGCTCGCTCCTTGGTGTCTATGCTGCAGGCAAGCTATATCCTATGTAAATGTGTATAGAGACGTATTTATCATTGATGTTTCGGAGGGAGTGTTAATAGAGTAGACAGTGGTTGGCAATGAGTTTGGAATTTTTTCCCAATTTCTTCAAAGTTAATCTATTATGGTAAATCATTATTACCTCTACTAACATCCAAATACAAATTTGTGACAAAAGTTCTTTTCTTATTGTACGGGTAGGGTGCATTTCAAAAGTTAACAGGGCCTAGGCCTAATTTTGCAATTTGGAAAAAACTGGAAAATCAGGCCAAAATAAAAATTTCCTGAAAACTTTGTAGTGGGTACATTAACTCAAGATTTATGTACTGGGATACTGGGAGCCTCACGAAATTTTATTTTCTGTAAAATATGAGGAAAAGGTAAATTGCTTCAGGATGTTGCGCACTTTGAATTTTTAACCTAACATCTGTACCAGTGTACATACTGGGAAACTAGACTAAAACTACAAAGTGCGCACCATCCTAGGCCACGCCACTACTCACTAACGTTAGGTCTCTCAGACAACTTGACCGTTTACCAACTCGACCTCCGACAACTCGTTCATTGGGACAACTCGATCATTGAGACAGCTCGACCATTTGCCAAGTTGTCCATTAGGACAACTCGACTTTGACAGAGAGACAACTCAACTGTTGCCATGTTGACTACACATAATACAGTAGTTCTGCTACATGTACATGTAGTTCCGGATCACAAAAATTATTCAGTCAGATTGCAGCTACAAATAATCCTTAAATTCCAGTGAGATGTGGTTACCTTGTGTGCTGGAAACACGGAAAAAATGTTTTCTTATTCTAAGCTTTTAATTTGGATGTACAGGAGGAAAGAGTTCTATGTACAGACTCCACAAGACATGTTGTGCACAAACCCTGTGAGACAGGTCTGAAAAATAGTAAGTGTATTCTTATTAAACAAATTGGTATTTTCCCTCCTAAATTGAACTTTTCTGGACATATGGTTTTGCTTCCTGATGGCTATTAAGTCACTGATTGTAGGTCAACTCGCCCCCTGGCCGACTCGCCCCTTCCCAGCTCGCCCCTTACCAACTCGCCCCCTGACCGACTCGCCCCCTAGCCGACTCGCCCCTTACCAACTTGCCCCCTAGCCAACTCGCCCCCTTACCGAGTCCGACTCGCCCCCTGAACGACTCGCCTCCTGACCGACTCGTCCTCTAAGTTTGCCAAGCACGTATGGCCGGCCCATTCACCATTTAAAAGAAAATACAATCAGTCAGAGATGGAATCAGTGATTGCTGCCCTTAAAAATAGGTTCTGGGGTTTGCAGCTGGCACTCAAAGTTGAGTTTGTTTAAAGCTTGGTGAATATTCCCTTCATGTGAAATTGGGGGTAACAATACTTTTTTTTATATTGGTAAAACTAATTCAGTATTATCGTGTGTATGGGCCATAGCGCAGCGTTTCCTGTGTATTGTCTATGGGATTTCGTGTGCCACAACACCAACACCCTACCATATTAATTAACTTTGCGAACTATTTAAGATAAAAAAATGGTACATATTAGGCATAATGCCCGGCGACGCAAACCTACGGAAGTGTTAAGGAGACATGATTTGTGACAAAGGGTGTAACGGTCGCTACACACTTTCAGGTTCCGATAACTTCACAGGATAATGGGGCGTTAAAAATTGACTTTAGTGTACAATGTACCACTATGACTTTATACATCACACAAAAAGCGTATACCCAAGAACCTAAATCAATTTTCGTAGTATATGTGAGGTCCCAGTTGAGTGAATGAGCAACAGAACACTATAACTAACTAAATGGATGTCGGGTCACTTCAAGAAGATACAGTCACATACCCAAATATTAATGGGACGGAGGGTTCAAAGTTG